ATCAGGGCTCAAGTGGGAAGAGAATGCTTTGAAAATGATGATGGCGGCATATGTGCAAATGTGCTTGATACACTGGATGAATGTATGGATTGTGGTAAGAAATGTAAGAGCCCGAATAAAAGTAATATTTTCTATAAAAGAAAAGTGTGCAACACACAGTGTACGCCTATATATGCTAGCATTACTATTTGCAAATGTTTTACCTACATTTACTTTATAGAAAATAAAGCATGTTTGTCTTTTCATAATAATATGGGCAAAAATAACATTCCACCCTGAATCACTGAAGATAAGTAAGTTATAAAAAGGTTTTTAAACAGATTTATTAAATCAAATACCTCTTCCCATGTTGTCTTCTGGCCAGTAAATGTAAAACCAATAAAATGTTTCTGCTATAGTTAAAACAGGAGAGAAAAATCAAACTATTTTGAACTAAAAATTATCTGTATTACCCTGTAGTATAACTTATACTCTCACATTACTTGTGAAAAACCACTGCAGTTCTGTCTATTTATGAAAACCTACTTTAAATGTTAAAAACCAACAGCAAGTCTACCATGAAGTTTTTACCATGTGCCATCATTATCAAAATATCTAATTTCACAACTACCCATGAAATAAGTATTATATTTTACTTCATTGTAAAGAAGAGGACTTCCCGTTGGCATAATGGTTATGCACGTGTTGGGCTGCTAACCGCAAAATCAGCTGTTCAAAACCACCAGCTGCTCTGCAGAAGAAAGGTGAGGCTTTCTACTCCTGTGAAGAATTAGTCTCGGAAACCCATACAGGCAGTTCTATCCTGTCCTACAGAGTCACTATGAGCCAGACTCAACTTGATGGCAGTGAGTTGGGTTGGGTATAGAAGAAGGAGTGGAGGAAGGGGAGGGGGATTGCCATCAAGTCCATTTTGAGTCATAGTAACCCTACAGGACAGAGTAGAAATACCCATAGGGTTTCCAAGACTGCAATGTATCTAGAAACTGACAGCCACACCTTTCTCCCACTGAGTTGCTGGTGGGTCCCAACCTCAGACACAGATAAGAGCGGAGTGCTTGGCCACTGTACCACCAAGGCTCCTTAGAAGGGGCTCCGAAGGTTGAATATATGGTTCAAGTGGCAGAACCAAGATTCGAACACAGACTGAACACGATCTTCCTTTCTAACTGCCTTGCATACTTCCTGTCTAGGTTCACTGAACTCTTTCAAACAAAACCAAACAGTTGTCAAGAAGTTGATTCTGATTCATAGAGACTCCCCATGTTTCATAGTAGAACTACGCGCCACAGGTTTTCTATCATTATGATATTTTGGAAATAGATTGCTAGGCACCCTGGGTGGATTTGAACCACCAATCTTCCAGTTAGCAGTCAAGCAACTAACACCAATAAAGTATGAGACATTGCTCATGAGGTCATGTTTGTAAGATTAAAACTCCAGAATCTGTCATTTCCTACTATTGTCGGTCTGTAAGCTAAATGGGCTGTCATCAGTTGAAGAGAGATTTCTAAAAACTTATCCTAAGAAAATAATCAGATTTAAGTCAATGATTTAGAATAAGATTATTTATCAACAAGACAAAGCACAAGAAAAAGCTTATGTCGTAGTATTAAGTGCAATAAGAAATAAATTTACAGTATGATTGTAATTATTTTTAAACTGTATGCTTAGAAGTGAGACTAGAATGAAATTACAATGGTAAGTCACGTGTTCTATATTTACCATGAGCCAAGGACTACTTACACCACTTCCAATGCATTACTTGAAAACCACTCTAGAAGGTAAATTCTATTACTTTACATTTTTATATAAGAAAATTGAAGCACAGAAAAGTGAAGCGACTGAGAGAGAGATGAACACTAAGTCATAAAGACTTGACTCAAACTCACAGTCATCTCAGACGGTAGAGTACATTCACTACTTTACGCAACTGAAATAAGTAGTGCTGACTCTGGATGATTTTTTCTTTTTGTCTACTTCTCAGCATTTTCAAAATCTACCCAGTAAGTATGATTTGCTTGTAGAAGCAAGAAAACAAATGCTATAGAAAAACAAAATGTTGCACAAGTATAAAATAATTAAGGAAGATAAATTAATAAATGTGGTTGTATTTCTTCTAGTTTCGTGATAACCAAGTTGGGGGTTTTTTGGCTGTTGTTGGTTGCTTTTTCTTTTCTTTTTTCTTTTTAAAAAAATTCTAACCAAGGTCTTCTGGCAAGCCACACAACCTAGGATAATCTTTGTGGCAGCTGAGTTTTATGCAACTCGCACATGTGTGGAAGTGCAGCGGTGGAGTGGTAGTCCGGTGTCCATCACGTGGTAGTCCGGTGTCTCCTTGAGAGTGTGCCCTTTTCATAAGAGAGACAGTGGGAAGTTCTCTCTCTCTCTCTCTCTCTCTCTCTCTCTCTCTCTCTCTCTCGGCTTCTTTGCCCTCCTTGCTTGCTGGGACTTCCTGGGAGCCATGCTTTGAGCTTTCGGCTTCCTGCTAGGTTCCCACCAATCTTGGACCCACGAGACTCTGCACCCACCAACCTGTGGTCTCCCAGCGTCTACTTCACCTTTCTGCTTCATCAGCCTACAGCTAAGGGAGTCTGAACAGGGCTAGGGCTGCCATTGGATCCATGAACTTGCTTGCATTGGACTGGGCTGGGATGCTTTCTTGATATAAAATTACTTCTTAATATAAAGCTCTTTGTTATACATATATGAGTGTCACTGGTTTTATTTCCCTAGACTACCCAGCTTAATCCAACCTTCCTCTACATAAATGGCAGTTTTATTTAAGGTTGTCGCCCACCCCCAGAACCACTGCATTGAGATGATGAATCAAGGGGTTTCAGAGAGGAGGCTGGTAAGTTTATCATCAGCTAATAAGAAAAATCCTGCATTGTAATTTGCCAAAGGCTCTCATATGAATATTTATCTATTTAGTATTGATTTTCACAGAGAAGATGAGGTGGTGCTTTATGAAAAATGAGAAAATAAGTAATGTGTTTGTACACAAACTTTTTTAAAAAAATTTTTTTAAAGCACTTTCTCAACCTTCTAGGGGAGAGGGAACAATTAAAGGTAAAAATACCATACTCGACAATAACAATTCTTTCATTTTTGTTTGTTTTACAATAACAATTCTTGATAAAAGTCCATAATGTAACAGCTTTTGACATTACCATTTCATGGATGTTCTTATTTGATCTGACCAGTCCTGGTTTTACAAATCCTTCTTCCTTACAAACCCCAAAGTGAGGAAACGGATGTGCCATTTTAATTCACATCACCTCTGACCATTCATAACACATACTGCTGAATGTGAAATTCTACACATTTGTTTGCCTAAAAACAAGTTGTTCATTTCAACATTCAGCCCCACAGAGATGAACAGATCACTTGATTATATTTTATTCAATCCCCTGTTTCTACAAAGAAGTACCCTGAATAAACTAAAATAGCAATTTAGCCTTTTTTTCCCTGAATCATAAAAACACTATATAATACAAGCTTTTATGTGTTTTCAAACATTGCCTTATCATTTTCTTAGAATAACTTGGGGGAGTGTTTTCTTCAGAAATGGAAATCACAAATCTCCTAACAGGATTGATCTCTTTGGAGATCTAGTGATCTAGAATCCTTAACACTCTAAAGACTTTTCAATTTTGGTCACGCAGAGTTACGTTGGCATGTTCGAAGCTCTACATACCTCCACACCAAATGAAGTATCATCCTTCTCTATTTATTGTACAAATTTCCTCTTCTTTGCATTCCTGAATTATAGCATCTAAACTAATTAGGATTCATTGTACATGTAATTCTAAAAACACCAATTCTGAAAGAACCCTAATGACGCCGAGGTGATTCTCACTCAGCGACACTATATAGAGTTTCCAAGACTATAAATCTTTATGGGAGCAGAGAGCCTCATCTTTGTTGAGAATGGCTGGTGGTTTTGAACCACCAAGCTTACCATTAAGAGCCCAATGCTTACTAAATTCCTCCACCAGGGCCCCCTTCTCGCGAGCATAGTACATCAATGGGATTTATGCTTACATTCATTTTCATTCATTTGGTCAGTCTGACATATAGAGCAAACCTCCAAACTAGAGGTGATCCTGAGTCAACTCTGATAGGCCAGCACAGGATGCTTTAAGATTGAAGGCAACATGTCAAAATTGGGAGAAGTCACATCAAAATCATCAGTTCTACCAGCATGAAATTCACGTTCCAGCATGAGGATGGTCCGTGCTGGAAACCGTCTTGATGATGCCCTTCACACAAAGCCTGGCTCTGTCCAGCAGTCCCGGTCACTCACAAAGGAGGACGGCATGCTGCTGGCCACAAGGCCTCTTTCGTGCATAAGACCTTCAAGGCCCTGTGACATTGGAATGTGTGCTATATCCTCAACAGAACCCAAGAAACCATTTCTATAAATTGACAAAGAAAAGAAGGATTTTTTTAAATCACTATAGAGGAATTTCTGAAGCTTAACGTAGAACAAATATCTGGGAAGTGATGGTTTCATAAGCTAGGTACGCTAAGAAAATCCAATTTCACATTTGGAAAAATGATATAACACTAGCCCCTCACCAGAGGTTGTCAGGCAGACAGAGTCAATATCTCAATAGTGTTTAGCTTGCTAATCATGACATGACCACCATTACGATTGGGAAGACCTCCAAATTCTACCCTTCAAAGCATCTGCTGCCTTCCAGGGTCAAGAAGCCAAAGTTCACTCTTGACTTGAGATTCAGGCTGTTTTGCAATATGACCTCAAACTGCCTTTCTAGCCCCATGGCCTACCAGCTTCGACATGCTGCAGTCGCCTCCCCTCCCCCCAGCTCCTCAGCAGCCTCCACACTGGTGTGCACTTTGACCCTCGGACCTTTGTCCATGCTTCTTTTTCAGTTGAACCACGTCCACTTCTTGCTCAACCTAGCAGAATCAACCTTCAAGGTGCTGCTGACACAGGGTAGCAGGGGACTCTGTTAAAAAGTCAGACTAAATCCCTACCTCCACGATGTTCATTGGCCTCCCCACTAGACTGTGTCACCCAGGAAAGCAGAACAGGAATTCTATTACCACAACAAGAGGGTGTCTGGAATCATTAGGCATTCATTAAATGCTTGTCGTAGTAAGAGCGGCGCTAGTTGGCCAGCTTCCAATTCTGCAAAAGGTTGTGGGTGCAGACAAATAGTCTTCTAAAGCCCAGGACCCAAATCCTGCTCTGTGCCACTCGTTCAAAAAGTCAGAGGCCATTTCCAATGACTCTAAATTGTAGAATCTTCAAAGTTACTTTAAAACCCAAAGGAAAAAATTGAAAGGGATAAATATTTCACTGAGACATAAGCATTAGTTAATTAATATCAACAGGGGGGGAAAATGGATAAAGGGCTTAAATGCAGTAAAAGGAAGTTTTCTGGTTAACAAAGAAAATATATACGACCATACCTAGAATTCAATGAAAGTATAATGAAACAACAGGGTATAGCATTTTTCTCCTTCCAGTTAGGGAAATTCACGAATTGAGCAAAGCCTAACATAGAAAGACAACTGGTTAAAGTCACCCTTATGTTCTGTTAATGTGACCGGGAGCCACTACTTTGGAAACAAACTTGGCAATATTTATCCAAATGTTAACTATAAATACCCTTTGACCCAGAAAGTCCACATCTAAGCCTCTGTCCTGCCAATATGCTCACTTGGTCGGGGTAGGAGCTGTGGGTCGCAGAGGACATTTATAATAGCGTCTAAAACATTATTTAGTAATAAGTTTAACAAAGGAAGCACCAGACTTGTATACTGAAACCCACCAAACATCTTGAAAGAAACTAAAGACACCCTGTGTCCAGGGACTGGCTATTGTTTTAAAAAAGCAATACTCTCCACATTGATCCACAGCTTCAACATAATCCCTGCCAAGATCTCAGTTGTCTTTTCTGTTTAAGACACTGCCACACTGATAATAAATATCACAGGGAAATGCAAACGACCCAGAATAGCAAAAGATACTCATAACTTGCTTGTAATAGAACATGCTAGCAATAATCTATGTATCCACAAGAAACCAAACCAAACAAAAACAAACTCAAAGCCATCGAGTCAATGCTGACTTCCGACACAAATTGTTTACAGGAGTAGAAAGCCCCATCTTTCTCCCGTGGAGCTGCTGGTGGTTTCTAACTGCTGACCATGCCAGCTGTAGCCAAACACGTCACCGCTACTCCACCAGGGCTCCTTTCCACAAGAGACATGTACATGCATACAGCAAAGTACTATATATCTATTAAAAGCGTGAGCTAGAGCCCACATGCTGAATATAAACTGTGCCCAAGATCCCTGCACACCAGGAAGTTTGAAGGATAAGTACTCTATATTCAGCAGTTATATGCGAGCCATAGAAAGGGACTTCATATTTTGTAGAGAAAGCAAATTAAAAGATAATGGAATCTTTCCCTAATATTCAAAAAGATAATGAAATACAAGTAGACTTCAAAATTTTGTGGAAAAATTAAATTAAAAGGTAAAAATAAAAGACATTTTGTTTCTCGACATAAGCTCTACCAACCTCAAGATACTTCTGTAAACAATGGTACCTGCCACTTAGTCTATCCTTAGAAAACAGAAGGCCCTAGAAATTTAAACATGTCAATACAGCCTGTTTTATATTAGAAACTGAAGAAAAATGGGTGGCTTTTGAAAATGTTTACTTCAAGACAAAAAGCAAAGGAAACAAAAGAAGTGAGGAACCAGGTCGGGGCTATAATGTGGAAGCCTAATGGCACTGACCCTATCACAGTGCTGCCCTTGTTTGATGAGAAGAATGAGCAGAATAGTCATGGGGGAGAACAGCTCTGGTGACGTTTTCCTGCCCCCACCCCCCACCCTTTTTTATTTAAGCTAAAGCTTTGGCTAACTTTCTCAAAACACTTTCATAATAAGCAGATATTATTGACCCTCCAGAAAGTCAACAAGCAAAATGCCTTGAGCCTTCTAAAACTGGTTGCCATGACCTTTTGCTCTGGATCTGTGCACTTTTGTTTCCGCCGGACCAGTTCTACCCACGGTAACCACTGCTTTGTGCTTTGTCTTCAGAAATGCTTTCAAGATTTTCATCCTACTCAGTCAAAAGCAATTAGGGCACAAACAAGACTTTTGTTGCAGGTTTACGCGAATGGTCTGAGTTGTGGGTTCATCCTTAATATCTTCTCTTCCCTACTTAAAACCATGTATCTATTTGTAAACCACTGGTTTCTTTAAGACATTGTCCCCATAAACTTTTCATAAAGTATCAATGATTTCACCATTCATCTACCCAAGCTTCACCATAAATTGATTTTTTGTTCTTACTTTGTTTCAGCAGAATTCATGCTGTTCTGATAAGGGCAAATGAGGGTGTTAATTTTCTTAGTATCTCAAGCTAGATCCTGTTCAGACATGTAATAACAAGTCACTACAAGGTTATTTCAGTGTAACAATTGTTTTAAATCCATGCACAGTCTTTATTTTTCATACTGTGCATTTCATTGAACCTTTGGAAGACACTTTGGAATATATACATATATATATATACACACACACACATATACATATATTAGGATTTCTAATTACTTGTTGGTTTGGTCAAAATCATATTTTTAGATCAAATCACGATGCAAATTCAACTCCGAGGAAAGTTGCAACTGGGTTTAGCCGCGGTATAAAAACAATAGCTCTGTAAATGATCCTGTTTTGCCAAAGATAACTTTAGAAAATTGGACATTTTGCATCCCCAACACACCTTACAGTGTATACTACGTCTTCAAGAATGACTACTTGACTTATTTTTCCCAGGTGGTCAAAAGTACATGTCTGTGCCACCCACGCATTCTTTTCAATACCCAGACCACCGCTACTTGAGCACCAGGTAAGCAGTCCTTAACTGGAGGCATCCAGAAAAATCTGGGGCAACAGGCAGACTGCTTGACGGAATGATTCAGTCTGAAAAGGACAGTCCAGCACAGAGAAGAACTGTCCTACCCCAAATGCCAACAGCGACCTTGCCAATTTTAAGAGAAATTAACTGTCTAAACCTGGCCACATGCATGGCTTGTCACAGCAGTGGTAATCCCATCCTGTTACCATGTGGACCACTTAAGAATCTCTACCCATCCCTTACGGTAAAGCAGAGCACTGCAGAGGCTGCTGATAGTCTAAGCTTCTGCACAGCACACATCTTGTTGCCACGGCAACTTGAAGGTAAGGTGGAGCAAATACCAAAGCAAGTGCTTAGCTGGACTCTCAGCTCCCAGTGGCTCTCGGAATTAGGCAGTCGCCAGTCGCAAGCAGACATTACATTTCTGAGTAATGATACATCTTATAAGGGTGAACACAAGTCCTTGAGAAAGAAGTTACTCTGTGCTACAGTGTTATTTCCTATCATTCTGCAGTCAGATGTAGAAGAAACAGATCCTTCCCCAACACCACAGAATAAACAGAAATAATTGAGCATACAATTTGAAATGTTGACGGGAGACTTCATTCCCTCTAATTTCTCTTTCAAATCAGCTCTTGTTGATGCCCTATGACATTAATCCAAATTAAATATGACTATCTTAAATCAGAATCCCAGCTCTTGCAAAGGGCACAATGTTAGTTGAGATGTGCTTATATGGGGAGGAATTAGGTATAAACATAATATTATAATTAACTATAGCGTTCATATTATAATGTATTCTTCTATTTGTTTTTATTGGGTTTCTAGGTTTATAACAGTCCTAGGTTTATAACACCCTATCATACTGAGTAGAACTGCCCTGGGTTTCCAACACTGTTAACTCTTTATAGAAGAAAGCCTTGTCTTTCTCCCACAGAGCGGATAGTGCTTCCAAACGGCTGACCTTGTACTTTAGCTGCCCAAAGTGTACTCCCCGCGCTCCACCCCCCACCCCCGCCCGCCACAACTCACTCCGAATGAATCAATTCTGACTTATGAAACTGCCCCTATGGGTTTCTAAGACTGTTAACTCTTTACAGGAGTAGAAAGCCTCATCTTTCTCCCACAGAGAGGCTGGTGGTTTTGAACTGCTCATCTTGCAGTTCACAGTGCAAAACATAACCACTACGTCACAAAGGCTCAAACTATACCACCAGAATTGACTCCGAGGCTCAGTTGACTCAGTGAGTTTGAGTCGGTTTGCTTGTTTTTAGACAGTGCTGGGCCCTGCTGTAGAGACTCGGGCTAAAGCAGTGAATGGTCCAGATCCAATGTTCTACTCTTCAAGATGTGACCTTTAGGGGAAATAATTCCATGACACCTGTAGTATATATGACAGGAGCCCTGGGGGCCTAGTGGTTATGCATTGAGCTGCTCCCTCCAAGGGCACCAGTGTGTAACTACCAGCCCCTCTGCTGCAGAAAGACGGGCCCTCAACTGCTGTAAAGCATCACCGGGAACTCACAAGGGTAGTACTACCCTGTTCTGTGACCCTGAGTCAGAATTGACTCAATGGCAGTGAGTTTGGGTTTGTTTTGGTTTTCGTGTTTTTAATATAGTATATTAAAGTTGTTATAAGCTAGGAAGAAAAATACTGAACAGAAGAAAATCTATTGCTGTTAACTGCCATCAAGCCAGCCTTGGATTCAGGATGCTCCCATGCACATTGGACGATTAGGAGCCGCAAGGTTCAAACTGGTTAGTTTTCACAAGTAGATAGCCAGGCCTCTCTTCCTAAATTACCTTTGTGAAACTACACTGAAATCTGTTCAGCACCATAGCAACTTGCAAAACTCTACCGCTAAACAAACAATAACTGTGTGTTGAGATGCGCTGGCCA